CTTCAGCAAGCTAAAGTGATTGAGCACTATGCGCAAACATCTCATTTGAAAAGTTTAAAGTAGGTAACATTATTCAGGCCATGGGCATTTAGCAAACATAAACAGCGTTGATAAACACCTAAATGGCTGATAACCAGGGGCGGACTGGGACTACAAATCAGCCCGGGACTCTCGACCGGCCCACTTCGGTACCGCCGGCCTATATCAGTGTTTCCCCTACCATTGTCTTGGAGGGGCGCTGCGCCCCACCAACGGAGCCCCGCGCCCCCCCTGAAATTCAAGGTGTTTAAAAAAAAATATATATATATATATTTTTTTTGTATTATTTTTTTATTTTATTTATATATATAGCACCAAAATTGCAACTAATCTATATCTACTGTCACTTTTCACATTGAACATGTGCTCTTTTATTAAATAAACTAAACGCTTTCATTTTAAGTTGTGAGTTTAGTGTTTTTGACTCTAAGAAACACTGATGCATTAATCAATAACAATAATCCACAGCACTTCTCTCTGCTCCAGAGGATTTAAAAATAACTAATGAAATGGGTTTATCACATTCTCTAGCTGTATGGGGGAGGCCGGTGAGTCATGTTCCTATATATATATATATACAAGTCATAATAATGCCTGGGAATAACTTGTGGAATGATGGGCATTTAGAAACAGATGTTTGAAATGTTATCTATGACCGCATCAGTTATTAATATTCCTAATATTTGCAACATATACAATATCTCTGTCACCCCTCTTTAAGAAATGGTACCTTCCAATGGGAACCGCGAAGAGGGTCCGTTAAGGGCGTGTGTTAGGTCAGGTGCACCTAGCTTCAGGACGTTGCTGGCTAGCTTTCCTTCAGGCAGAAGACTGAACCTCCGCAAGTGATTTAACATTTAACTACGCCATGGATGAAAATGGAAGAGATATCACATATCCGGGCATGGATCCTATAGCAACTGCAGTATTAAAAGGTAATGTAATTGTTCATTTTATGCTGCACCTCTCCAGCAAGCTTTACATTATTTGAATCGGTTGGACAACAAGTTAGCATGCAAAGTAAGCTAGCTAGCTGGCTACATATCTAGCGTTAACTTAGCTTATATCTACTGTAAGCTGTTAATAACTGCACAAACGACAAATCGTGGTTAATATTTTAGTTGATACTGTATTATTGCCAGAAATAATGTCAAGAAGCAAATGAGCCTTCCACGACTGACAGTAAAGTATTTAGCATAGCCATCTTTGGCGCCCTTCTTTGTTGTAGATAGCATTTCAAAATGCGTTGTTGTATGATAGTGCAGGCCAGAGCCGTATAATAGAAGAGTTACGACATCTCCGTTCACTCCAATGGACCAGTTTTTTTACAGCAATGGCGGATCGTGCAGCCGTCAATAGTTCCCCGGAAGTTAGCTTGCCGCTGACTTCCGGGGAACTTTTGCGACCAGCAACACAGTAGAGTTGCAGCATAATAGACCGTTCGTGATGGACTTTTAAAGGTAAGAAGACGTTTAAAGATTTATATTGCAGATATTATCAGCACATCTGAGTCAAATGAACATGTGTATTAAAGGATGTTAGTGGATTATCCCTAAATCAGTAGATTTAGGGAACGTTTACAGATAACAGATTAGGCTAGGATACCGGATAAAGTTAGCAACACACGGTAACCATGAACAGCTATTAATCCGTTCTCCTAATGTTATTTCATCCAACGTTGTGGAATTAGAGAAAAAGGGCTTCTAAACGTGATTTTTTTGTGGGGTGGAGGAATATAATATTAGTTAAATATAACATTGGGGCACGTGTGATTGTAATGAGTGGAGGTGGAGAAATTACGATCTCCATTTTGGAGTAGACCTACAAACTAGTATAATAAAGTTAACGTTACACAATAATAAGGAAGAGAGCTATTTGTGTGATACATCGCTATTGATATTAATTTAGAGTGCATATTTGAGACTTCCAAACAGTAAACAAAAACGTAACTTATGGGTGAGTGTTTTTAGTGTATTCTGTTGATTATTACCTGTCTGTATTATGTTGCAGCTCAGCTGATTTTGAAATGATGGCAAAGTGAGAGTGAAAACACAAGGTACATTTAATACTACTGTTGTATATAAGTAAGCATACTAAACATGTATTCTATCACTGTATTATATAAGTAATCTTGTTAGTGTATATTAGTAACCTACTGTATGGCAGGTGGAGGGGCAGTGATGTTACAGGTGGAGGACTTACTGGACATGTATACACTCATTACATACTGTACGTAAAATACGACCAAGAATGTGAGACAACTTTATACAAATTCATATCACATCCATTACTGATGCCATTTGTCATACTTTGTTAAACTCACAAATAATAAAGTTCCATAACTTCAGTTGGAAACAAAGACCACACTTTATATCCCCAAGGCAATTTCCCATCCAATAGGTGTGCTATATAGGTGTGTATAACCCTTTCTCCTGTCTGTTTCTCCCTCTTTCAGCACAAGAACCAGAGGGGGATTCAATAGAGCCTGAATACCTGCACTGAGACCCTCACCCTGCACCCTGAGTCTCAACTCTCAGAGTTTTTCAAGCCTTTCCCTGTTATTTGTATTAAACCAAACATTAAGCTTCCCAATGGTGTGGTCTTCGTTTTGTGGAAAAAGTGCAAATGCAGTGTTTGAATATGATTACCTCACATATTTTGTTGCGGCTGTCTGTTTTGATTGTTAAATTGCTCCTGCTGACTTGAGCTAGCCATTTTTTCCTCCTCTCTGTGTCAGTGGGGAAGCCGTACATTCTGATTCTTACTCCTTTCTCTGAGCGATTGGAGCATCCCCAGGCAGCACAGCAATCCATGGTGGAGACGATATGCCAGGACAACACGGAGGAAAAGGCACAGACAAACTGCATGACATGCTATTCAATGTTTATTGAATTCCATGTATTTACAATGGATGTTCCTAAAACAACACTTTTAACGTCATAATCATGTTGCTGCTAGTCCATTGATAGTCACCTGTTGGTCTCCTGTCCTTTCTGAAAGTCATAAAGATGACATTAGTCATTTAGATTACTTATGTCCTCAAGTACCATGGGATTACTGAAACCACCATGAATTAAAAAAATGGTAGAAATTAATCTAATCTAAATTTTGAAGCATTCCTTGCCATCCCCTCCCTCTAAATATATCAATAAACATTAGGAAGTGATGCTCCTGACTACCATACCTGTTTAAGAAGATAATTTGTTTTAAATAATTCAAAGCAATACACAACAGCAACAGGCTCTTTAACCAAGGCAACAGCCTAACATGTATATGTTAACAAGTAAACTAGCTGTTCACACTATTCCTAATATTATCCATAAATATTAGCAGATTCTATTTATTTTTTAAAACATATTGATGTAAATACATACACATATCGGTATGTTGTATAAATATTGCAAATCAAGACCTTTATTCACTACTTATTACCAAAAATCGTAGTTCTATCTCCGGTAATCATGCATTCATATGTCCCGCCACGAACTTCCGGGGAACTATTGACTCTCCCTGAACCACGTGACGATCAAGCATTTTGGACTTCCGCTGTCGTAACTCTTCTATCTATATGGCGCTGGTGCAGGCTATTGAAACTACACTGTCCTTTGGATATAAGCAGGCTTGGGACGTAAATTATGCTTATTTGAATAAAGATTTCAAGGTAAAGACACTCTTTGGAAAATAAGTTAAACTGTCTTTGCTCTTAAACATCAAGATTTGTTTTATTGTACTATAAAAGATGCCGAAAATGTATAACTTTTATAGCCTATGAGATTTTACACATTTGTGTAATGGATTTATCCTAACAACATACCTCGTTTATTAATTTCCCTGGTGCCTTTTCATTTCCATTTGGCCAAAATAACTTGAACCTACTGTAACAGCAATTTTTAAAATGTCAATTATAAGTAAGTGCAAAACATGTTTTAATGTTAAAGAAAATCTTGTGAAGCCAGCCAGAAATGTACATTACTCTTTCATTTGATGTATTTAGATAAATATGTTATTAGTTGCTTTTTACCTTATTATTAACTGTGTGGTTAAATCTGTTTTCAGCTGCTAATATAAGCAGAGACATGCTGCCTAGCCTCTTTAAGGAGGACTTGCGTGATCTCCTTCCCGGGCCTGAGCACTTCAGAAGAAGAAGAACCATTTGGAGACTGTATAAAACCAAGGCCAGACCAAACAAGATGGATGTTGCTCAGCTCCTGGACCTCGAAATCCAAGCGAGAAGGGCCTTCATTGACTCTGATGTTACAAAGGAGCAGGACAGGCCTTCCAAGATTCTTAAAGCTTATCCTTGCTTCGGAGAACTGGATCATGTAAGCCAGTGGTCCCCAAACTAAGGCCCGCGGGCCGGATACGGCCCGCCTCCACATTTGGCCCGGCCCCCTGAACAATACCAGAGACGCATTATGATTTTTTTTTCAGTCTGGCCACGCAAATCCTAGACTAGCCCCTGTCAAATAGAACGGAATAATGGCGAAAAGGTTAGGTAAGAGAAAAATTGATTCAGAATGCAGGGTATTTAACCTGCAGTGGTCAAACGATTATTTTTTTGTTCAATGGAAAGAAAAGGCTGTTTGTCTCATCTGTCAAGAGGCGGTGGCGGTATTCAAAGAATACAATCTGCGCCGACACTATGAATCCCGTCACAAAGACAAGTATGATAACTTGCAAGGCCAAATGCGAGCAGACAAACTCTCAAAGCTAAAAAGTGGACTGTTAGCTCAGCAGAATACATTTGTACGCCAAGCTCAGCTGAACCAGTCATCCGTTCGGGCCAGCTTTCGGGTTGCTCAACTGATAGCAAGCAGCGGTAAACCTTTCACTGATGGAGAGTTTGTCAAGAAATGTTTGAATGCTGTCGCGGAAGAGGTGTGTCCCGAGAAGAAAGATGTCTTTAATGCCGTGAGTCTGTTGGCGAGTACAATCACCAGACGCATTGAAGAAATCGGGGGTAATGTATATGCCCAGCTGCAGCAGAAGACGAAAGAATTTGACTTTTTTTCATTAGCACTGGATGAGAGCACGGACGTGCAAGACACAGCGCAGCTGCTCATTTTTATTCGCGGAGTTAGCGCAAACTTTGAGATGTGCGAGGAGCTGGCAGCCCTCCAAAGTCTCAAAGGGACTACAACGGGGGAGGATATTTTCGGCAAAGTATGCCAAACCATGGAAGAGTTGGACCTAGACTGGTCAAAGCTTGCCAGCATCACGACTGACGGGGCTCCTAGTATGGTGGGCGCGTCTCGGGGTCTAATAGGACGCATGAACCGGGAGATGGAAGAACGGGGTCTCACCGCCCCGCTACAAATCCACTGCCTAATTCACCAGCAAGCACTGTGCTGCAAAGTGTTGAAGTGGGATTCTGTCATGAAGGTTGTGGTGTCATGCATAAACTTCATCAGAGCAAAGGGACTTAAACACAGGCAGTTCCAACAATTCCTGTCTGAACTGGAGTCTGCGCACGGCGATGTGCTGTACTACACAGAGGTCCGATGGTTGAGCCGGGGCAGAGTTTTGAGGCGTTTTTACGAGCTGCTACCCGAAATTAACGCATTTCTTCATTCAAAAGACAAAACGGTCCCAGAGCTGATCGACCCAGAATGGAAATGGCACCTCGCATTTTTAACAGACGTGACAGAAATGCTGAACAGCCTTAACTTGCAGCTACAAGGCCAGGGGAAACTCATTTGCGACATGTATTCTCACATAAAAGCATTTGAGGTGAAACTTGCGCTGCTTTTGGAACAAGTGAAAAAGCACAACTTCATCCATCTCCCTGCTACCCAAAACCTCTCTGCAGAGAACCCAGCGGTCCCGTTCCCAGCTGAAAAGTGTGTGGAAGCACTGGAAATGCTGAAGGCGGAGTTCGGTGTGCGATTCCGGCAACTACGTGTTAATGCAAAAGAAATCCGTCTTTTTCAGAACCCCTTTCTTGCCGACATCGATGAAGCCCAGCCTTCTTATCAGTTTGAGTTGGCCGAGTTACAGAACTGTGATGTTCTGAAAGACGCATTCAAGCCCAACAGTCTCATTGACTTCTATGCCGCCCTCCCAAACGACACGTACCCTAACATAAAAAAACACGCAATGAAGATGTTTACACTTTTTGGCAGCACGTATATCTGCGAGCAAACCTTTTCACACATGAAACACCTGAAAACTCAGATGAGATCAAGATTGACAGATGAACATCTGCATCAGTGTTTGAGACTGGCTGTGACTAGAATGGAACCTGACATTCAACTTCTCACCAGCCAGATGCAGGCCCACAGTTCACACTGATGAACATACATAGGTAAGATCACTTTTCTGACTTTTCTGAGTATAAACAAATTTAATCATAATAAAATCTACTGGGATAAAATCCATCTCCACAACCATACTGGTAGTGAAATGTATTGTGCTGTGTAGGTGCTGTATCACTTAGTTCGGTTTCTCAGCCTGCTTGCTTTGTGGTTTTCACAGGGAAGTTGATGAGAGAGAGCTGCAAACAGCGGTGTCTACAAGCCTACTGGAACCTACAAAAGGATTATAAGGAAGGAACACAAGAACTTTGAGAGACTGCTCATATGAGTCATTTGAGTAAGAGATTCTGCTCTGACAACTAAGCTTTTACCTGTTAAGATTGTGCACGGCACAACAGAAAGTTAATGTTCAGTGGACTTTTTTTCTGTGAAGAACCCAGAGAGGGTTATTTGGTTATTATTTATTTCATTAATAGTGTTATTATTTATTTCCTGACTTTTTTTCTGTGAAGATCCCGGAAAAGGTTATTAATATTTGGTTATGTGTGGCTTTCTGGAAAACAATAAATGTTTACGTTTAGGCACCCCTGCGATCGTCACACTTTTTCTGTTACAAACTGACCCCGGCCCCCATCAGAGAAGGGAAAAGTTATGTGGCCCTCACAGGAAAAAGTTTGGGGACCCCTGATGTAAGCAAATGTTTTCGTTTTATGTACAACTATGCTTCCTAATTCGGTTAACGTTAGACCAAATTTGAAATGAGAAATGGTATGACAATTAAATCAGATCTGTCTCATTATTGATAAATGAATGACTCAAATATGCTTATTGAATACAAATATTTAATCTGCATAGATATATAAAAACCCTCCACTTATTTAAAAAGAACAAATTTCACAAATGTGTTTCTGATACACACAACATTATTTTGTTAGTAGTATTGGTCCACAATACGTATTTAAAAATAGTGTGTGCATCAGACATACATTTGCAAAAAAACACATTTCTATGTGCACTGTAATATTTTTGTTAAGTCACCATTTAAATCACATTATACACATATGAATCTTTTTTGGGAAATTCAGTTATGAGACGAATTACTAACCCTTGGAATGTAGATTTTAATATTTCTTCTATATATTTTCTCTCTCGTTGTCTTAGCTAATGGATGAACTACGGCGGGTCCTCAATCAAGGCAACTCCCACTTCTTAACGGAACTTAAGACCCGGTGGGGGACCTTTTGTGAGAGGGCACAGTTTTATGGAGTTTTCAAAAAGCTCACGAGGCCTCCGCAGCTTGACAAAGGTGATTATTATCTCTGACCATGTCTGTTTATTAACTGACTGCAGGAAACGGAATGACACTTTTTTTTTTTCAACAGTAAAGCACTCAATTGCTATGATGAAGGCTTTACAAGAGATGTTCCCATCACCTATGGCCCCACCCAAGAAGTTAAGGCATGCAAGTGAGGCTGTGCTCCACGTCCTTGAGGTAAGAAAATGTATACGAATTTTCTCATGTCGTTGCAAAGAGTGAAATGTTGTGATATTTGTTTCACTTTTTGTGATGATTTCTTTGTCTCTTTTTGTGTCAGTCTGCAGAAGACCCCAACACCTTTCTCCAGACATGACCACTCTCCAGCCCTGTTGTCATCATCTGCGAAACCAACTGTATACTGGCCATTGGAACCATGCCCGTGCTCATCTTCCCAAAAGAGCACATTCATGAAAGCGTGATGTATCTCATGGCATGTTATTACACCTTTCACCTCACCTATCCTAAGTGCATTGCAACGCTTCTGTCTGTTGTGCAGACAGAAGTCCTCTTGGACGCCATTCACGACCGTGACATGACTACTTCATACAAAAAGGCTATGGCCGACTGGAAAAAGTTCATAAGTGATTAGGGCACTTATATATGAGGGGCCGCTAGGGACATTATTCAGAAATACCGTTCACATACACATGTGAAACACTCTCACACACTCAACTGAAACCAAAATAATTTACAAACATATGTAAAAGATCTCTCATATACACATATGAAATGCTCGCATACACATGAAATCCAAAGTTATTCACATACACATGTGAAACGCACTCACACCTGAAACGCTCTCACTCACACCTGAAACGCTCTCACACACACCTGAAACGCTCTCACACACACATATAAAACACACTCATATACACATGAAATGCGATTTCAATATGTTGTGTGGGAGGTTTCAGTTGAAACAGAAGGCATCTCGCCTTTTTGAAATTTGCGCTTCTTCGCTGTTTTTTTAAAAACGACTTCCTTTTCAACCGAGATGCATTTCGATTCAACTGAAATCCCTCTCACACAACATACTGAAATTGCACTTCATGTGTATATGAGTGCGTTTCATATCTGTGGGAGAGTGTTTCGTGTGTGAGTGCGTTTCATGTGTGTGTGTGAGTGCGTTTCATGTGTGTGTGAGAGCGTTTCAGGTGTGAGTGCATTTCAGGTGTGTGTGAGTGCGTATCACATGTGTATATGAGTGCGTTTGACATGTATATGTAAATAACTGTGGATTTCATACGTGTGTGAGAGCGTTTCATATGTGTATATGAGAGATTTTTACATGCTTGTAAATTATGTTGGTTTCATATGTGTATGTGAACGGTATTTCTGAATAATGACCCTAGCGGCCCCTCATACTTATAGTCCTATTGAAAATTGTTCGCTGAGTCAAAAGTGTCATGAGAATTTCACTTGCGTTGCATTTTACAGTGAAATAATGTTCTCTTTTTTTCGACATATCTGATGACTGACCTTTACTACACAGTTTGAAAACAATAAAAACATTAAAAGAAATCATTTGAGACTCATATTTTTCTTTATGCAAGCAGTCAAAGTTTATATCTTGATAGGATTAAAGATTTATGAAGGTTTTGTCTCTACTTTTCTTGGTATTTAGCCTTATTTTAAGAATACTTTAATAGCACCAAATGCTGAATTTAAGTAGATTTTTCTACATATTAAGAAAATAATTCTTAAATCTTATCTTTGTATCTAGACAAATGTACCTGTTTAAAGTGAAGCTGCACTGGTTTTAAGATATGTTGCCTAACATAAAATTGAATTTTGGGACAATAGCAGTAGAATATGCTGAATTCAAGCACATTTTCCTTATAAGATTATAATTCTTAAACATATTCCTTGCTTCAATTCAAATGTACTTATTTTTGGTTTTAAAAACACTCGTTTTAAGATATCTGTAGATCTTTTTAGGCTAGATATATTTACTGGTTTTAAGAAGGTCTTGGCAAGTGAATTTTTCTTGTTCTGTTGGTAGATAATTTTTCTTATTTTAAGTAATATATTACTAATTTTATTATTTATTTTACTTGTTTTTTGAGGCTTAGTTTTTGCAGTGTGTCTCTTATGCGGCTTTCACACCAGCGCTTTTCCCTTTCTAACTCCTAGCGAGAGCTTTTCTGGTTCAGCTCCAGTTTCCCTTTTCAGCTCCCGCTCTGTTCACATCGCCCAGAGCTGCCGCTGCTGCGTCATGACGCACGTGTGAGACGGGAGATGTAGTTCATTGAGCGGTTTCACACAAAAAAATGTGTTACTTCACAGTTTTACAACACATTTTTATTTGTTTGACTTGCAAAATTATCTTTTAAATTGACAAACATCATATGTGTAACTCGTGGCACAATTCAAACGGGATCGAAAGATAATCTTTCTCTCTCCATTGACTTCAATACATACTTTTTCCGAAAAATAAGGTCCCATGGAGGTCCCCCGGAAAGGGAGGGACTTCGCCTCTCTATAGAGTGGCGAAGTCCCTCCCCTTCCGGAGAGAGAAAGATTATCTTTCGATCCCGTTTGAATTGTGCCACGAATTACACATATGATGTTTGTCAATTTAAAAGATAATTTTGCAAGTAAAAAAAATATATATATGTCGTAAAACTGTGAAGTAACACATTTGTTTGTGTGAAACGCTCAATGAACTACATCTCCGGTCTCGCACAATAACACACGTCACCAAGATGGCCGTCACTGCTGTCTTGTCAAAAAAAGGATTGACTATCCTCACTATGAATGTCAGGCAAAGCTGCCTGCCTGCCTTCCTTTGATTCTCTCTGAACTGCCTGGTCTTTTTAATGTTTAATGTCAATCATTTGTGCAGATAGCATGAAGTGATAGCATGAAGTGCAAAAGATCGCCGATGCTAATGTAGCGTTAGCGTTAGCCTTTCTCCCCTGGGCTTAAATTGTGTATTATAGAATTATCACACCGGTGTGACAGTACTCTTCAAAGGGTTCACGAAATATGACTACTACTCTTACTGTTTAACATTTTGGGTTACTTATTGTTAAGGCTAATAAAAATGACAAGGCTGTAATGCTAACTAACGTGCTAGCTACTAGCTATGTAGGTAACTTGATCAAGCCACTCCTGGTCCTTTCATCAGACGGGAAGCGAAAGAACGAGCAAGACCCATTGCTGGTATGATAACAACCTGGTACTAAGCACACAGGCATCTTGTTAAAGTTATCTTATCTTAGCCAGCGCCATATAGATAGATTCTATCTACTGTATATGGCGCTGATCTTAGCTATCTCTTAGTGGAGGAAAACAATTGTGACATCACTTACGCGACTCTGGGATTTGTAGTCTTTCTAGTTGCGTATTTTTCATAGTCTTATATTTCAACAGTTTTACGACAAACTGACTTTTTTGACATGGAAATTATTTTTTTAAGATTGACAAACATAATATGTGTAATTCATGGCACAATTCAAACGGGATCGAAAGATACGTTTTCTCTCCCCATTGACTTCAATGCATAATTTTTCCGAAATAAGGTCCCATGGACCGGAAGTAGATGGGCGTGACTTCGCCACTCTATATAAACACTAGATGACTCACCCGCGCTGCTGGCCAATGGAGACCGACGTTGCCACATGGCCGCCATCTTGCTACAGGTAGCGCTCTCATCAAGCCCCCAGGAAGTGCGCCGGACTCAGATGAAAATATTTGTGGTGGCCAAACGGCGGTACTACACTTCCGTTTGGTTGCCAGGCCCGGAAACACTTTTTCCCATAGAGTGGCGAAGTCCCTCCCCTTCCGGTGGACCTCCATGGGACCTTATTTCGGAAAAATTATGTATTGAAGTCAATGGAGAGAGAAAGATTATCTTTCGATCCCGTTTGAATTGTGCCACGAATTACACATATGATGTTTGTCAATTTAAAAGATAATTTTGCAAGTCAAAAAAAAAGAGTGTCGTAAAACTGTGAAGTAACACATTTGTTTGTGTGAAACGCTCAATGAACTACATCTCTGGTCTCACAGAACAACTCACGTC